CAGTAGACAGTGACACCTCAAGGCAAGTGGTTCTGGATTATATAAAAAAGCAAGCTGAGTGAGTTATGAGGAGCAAACCAATAAACAGTATTCCTCCATGATCTGTTTCAGTTCCTGCCTTGAGTTTCTGCCTTAATTTCATTCCACAGAGGACTATAAACTGTATACTGAAGTAAACCCTTTACTTTTGGAGATGATTTTGGCCAGTGTTTTATCATAGCAATAGAAAATTGAACTAAGACAGCAACTGAATGCATTGCTGCTGCTGCTACAACCACAACCACCACAACAGTTACTACTTACACACACACACATACTCATGCACACACATACACATTCACTTACATATATGCACACTCATCTGAGCATACATTCTTACACACACACACACACACACACACACACATACACACAAAGATTCTTAAAATTCACTTGTAAATTGTTAGTAAAGATGAGAGGGGAATTGTACTTTGCCTGGCAGAATCCCACATTTTTGGATATGAATGTTCAGACTCCATGTGTGTTAGGATTTATGCTTACATGACTCCTTGACATAAGAACTGTGTATAGTCTTTGAAATCCAGGGCTTAAGGAATAAGTTATTGTACAGGCCACATGAAGCTCATAAAAAAGGAAGACCAAGTGGGGGTGATTCAGTTCTTCTTAGAAGGAGCAACAAAATACTCAAGGGAGCAAATATGGAGACAAAGTGAGGGACAGAAACTGAAGGAGGGGCCATTTGAAGACCTTTCCACCTGAGTATCCATCCCATGTGCAGTCACAAAAGGTAGATGCTGATGTGGAAGTCAGGAAGTACATGCTGATAAGGGCCTGATATGGATGTCTCCTCAGAGGCCTTCAAGAGTCTGACATATTCAGAGGCAGATGCTCACAACTAGCCATTGAACTGATCATGAGGTTCTCAATGGAGGAGTTAGAGTGAGGACTGAAGGAGCTGAAAGGGTTTGTGGCACCATGAGGAGAGCAACAATACCAACCAACCACAGCTCCCAGGGTCCTAACCACCAGCCTGGGAGCACTTATGGAGGGATCCAGGGCTTCAGCTGAATATGTAAGAGTGGAGGGCCCTGCTGGGCATAGGTGGAAGAAGAGATCCTTGACCTCATGAAGGCTGGATGCCCCAGGGGGTGGGAATTTTGAGGGTGGGGAAGTGGGAGTGGGGGGGTAGGTGGGGGTTACATTCACGGAGAAGAAGGAGGAGGGGTAAGGGGATGGGGGTTCCCGGGTGGGTGGGGGATGGGGTAAGGGGATAACATATGAAATGTAAATAAAATATCCAATAAAAAAAAAGAACTGTGTATAGTCTTTGAAATCCAGGGCTTAAGGAATAAGTTATTGTAGTTTTCATGTCATCATACATAAACATATTTTGTTTTGGATTTTCTAGTAATTCAAACAATTATTGTGCAAAGATGTGCCTCAACACTAGATATTTGCCCCAAATCCCCCAATTATTATATGTTTGAAGCTTACCAGGAAAAGAGTCAGTTGGCATATTGGGGTACACATGATGTCCTGAACAGATCATCACAGCATCAAAGAGCACAGATTCTTGCTTGCCATCCTTTACAGTAACAACTACCCATTGACCAGTGGTCAAGAAGCTAGAGCATTTCTCTATACTGGAAACCAAGGTCTGAAAGACAATGGGAAAAAAGAATTCCTTCTATTTGTGGAATTCTTCCTTTCTTTCTTGCAGTATTTATCTATGGAAATAATGATATAAGATGACCCAGACACTGAAAAATATACGAAAAGGCACTAATATGGGGTTCAGAGTACATCCTCAGTGAATCTTCAAATCTTGCATAGAACTCCTGAGGGTTTACTTATTACTGAAGATCTGATAACTTGATGTGGGGTAAATGATACTTGGGGATTTTTATGTGTGTAGCAAATTTACATCATTTGCTTACATCTGCTCTACAGTGACCCAATCTTCTTTTCCTCTGATCTCATCTTCTACCCACTCAGTGAATACAGCAAGTTCCACAGCACATATGCCTATATATCCTGAGCCCATTCCTCCTCTGCTGTCCGGTCTAACTTTTCTACTGGAAAGCCATAGTGCTTTTTCTAATGAAGCATATTAATAATTGACCTACCTCTATTTTCTCCCAAGCTGCCTTTGACTTTTCTAGCTCTTAGAACAATGACAGAAACCACCCCTAGCTTCATGTCTACATAAATATTGATCCCAGGGACATAATATTGCTTCTATTTATTCCATGACCTCAAATGCTGCATTACTTCAAGGTCTGATAAAATCATGAAGACGGCTTCAGAGTCTATAGCTAGGCTGCCTCCCAGCTACCAACTTGCTACATGAAAGACTTCATCCTGCCTTTTGACAGGACTGATTTGATTCTGTGTTTCTGCCTCAAAGTAACTTCTGATACACCACAGTCTCATTCGTGGTGATTGAGCATAGGGTCTCACCTGTGCTAAGTAAGCATTCTACCACTGAGGACACCCATATAATTCCTTATTTCTAATCCTATGATCAAGACTGTGTATAATTATGGTCTTGTTTGTTTTTACCTTCTGGTGTTTCCACAGACTCCTCTGGGACAGAGACTGCTAGTTTCCTTTCCAGTGTCCATATATTTCTTTTTTACTAACAGAACCTGCTTTTGTTTGGAGCAGCTATGTGCCTAGCAATGGGACCCACTTTCAGGCCCTCATGTAGCTGCAGGGGCCTATGAGATAGAAGCAGATAACGTGGAGGTCAGAACCACTTGGTTCTCCTGTAGTTGGAATTAAGAAGGTTGTAAGCTGATTAATGCAGTAGTGAAACAGAACTTAGGTCCTTATAAGAGCCACTAGGCCATCCCTCCAGCCCCTTACTACCTCTCTCTCTTTACCTCCCTCCTTTCCTCCCTCCTTTCCTTCCTTCCTTCCTTCCTTCCTTCCTTCCTTCCTTCCTTCTTCCTTCCTTCCTTCCTTCCTTCCTTCCTTCCTTCCTTCCTTCCTTCCTTCCTTCCT